ATATGTCAACCTTAACTAATGCTAATACAACGTAGAAATCCTTTGATTAGGGTTTCGCAAACGTTCAAAACTCTTACTTTTAATTAGTTCCACTAAAATGATTAACTGCTTTATGTGCTGTTGACCACCTACATTAACTTGAAAATTTAGTCTAAATTCACTAATCTATTAACCTATACTAAAAGCAAATCCTTCTATGACACTTGTCATTACCTTGTAAAAAAATTTCCTGCCTTTTTTCGCTTCTTTCTCTCTCTATTTTTTTAGATTTTTTGGCAAAATCTTTAAGTAAATTATTTATACCTTGTGGTATTTTCTTTTCAGTTTGTTAATCATATTCCATATATGTCCAAATAAAATATTTCTGAATATCTTTTATATACTTTATATTATATAATATTATTGTCAAAAATATTTAACAACCGTGCATTGCACGGAATTTTAACCTATTATTAGCTATAATCCAAGCTGTGCAGAGTCACCGTGGATTTTAACACCTATAATTAGGGCGTTCATCCCTATAATTTAATAATAACCTTTTATAAGCTAAAGTAATTAGATTTAATACATGGAGCCTATAATTTGAGTACTAATCACTATTGCCTAACCATGTGCATCTGTTTAGTGGGCAACTCGTGATCAAACCATGATTGTAAATAATGCATACGATACCCCCACAGCATCATCACAATCATTAGCAATTGCTTTATATTATTTTGTTTACTAATTAATATTTAATCTTAATGTTTTGGTGGATTAGAATTAAGATTAGAGCTTGTTTGATTGAACATGAAAAGTTAAATTATCTCGGAAGAAGACGCTTCTGATTGCATGTAGTAATTTTATTGCCAAGTCCATCTAGCAAGATAGCCCAATGATGAGATTAACATGTGACATGGAATCGCATATCAGTTTTTCCCCAGGGCCTAAAGGCTTACGCAACCTCTTAACAGACGCATTATCTAACTTAATAACCTCATATTAAGCATTCAAATTCGAACCTTGTTAACTATTTAGTAAACTATATAAAAATGTAAATAATCTAGACTGTTAAAAATCTGATGTTAAGCAAAAGTTTTTGTAGTTTTATTCAAGATATGAAACTTTTTAAGTACTCCGTACTTGGTAATTTTAGAGCTGTTCAAGCTGCTCTTCAATTAATAAAGGTTGTGGACGTAGTTGTGTAATATTTATTTTTCTTCTTACCAATTACATACCATATCTGCTTAGAGTTAAACCTAGTAATTTCTTGTACTAATGTAAAGGTGTGTAAATTTCTTAGCACACGTAATATAATTATCTCCTTTTTACTTTATGATTCTCTATACAATAACAATAAAACGTTTAATCAATCTCGTATGTATTTTTTAATCTTTGTGCCAATGTGCCCTAGTTTATTACTCGTTTAACATTATTATGTAGATTTAGCTCCAAAATTAAAAGAAGATTTAGGCTTAATTTGGATTAATTTTATTGGATTGAGTATGTCCTCTCTAGATCTATTATTCACGTTGTAGCATCATGCAAGTTTGACTTTGACCATGAAGTAAGCCTCAAATAAAACGGTAGCTATGGATCAGATCCCAAAATACATTGAATCTGGAGCAGTCAATGGTATTACCATCTCATTTAAGCAATCATTTGCTCATTTGATTATTTATACATGTGTCATCAATTATCATACACTCATATGCGTGACCTTGTCACGCTAAAAAGAAGCATATAATCACTCATTAGAATAAAGGGGGTTAAAAGTAAACTATTCATCTTTTTAATGAAGTACCAAAGACTTTCACCGATGACCGATCCTACTACAATATGTATTATATCTCTAACCCTTTCTCTTTATAATATTTGTTTAATTTTTACATCGTTGATTTGGATATATCTACGGTTCATTAATTAGTGTTAGTCTCTTGCTTAAAAAAAAATTAGTGTTAGTCTCTCCACAACGATATAGTTTTTGAGTTGAGTCTAGATAATTATCACCCTTCAAGATGACATGAGTGATCAAGTTACCGGGTTGATCACCGGAACCTAGATAGAAAGGAGATGAAAGATCGAGTTTACCGTCATCCACCATTGTTAGGGAAGCAGAGAAAATTAGAAATTAGCAAATAGAAAAAAAATAAATTAGAGTCTTTAGGGTTTAGAATTGTCGTGGCTCTGATACCATGTCAAGAATGTAGAGAATATAGAAAATAGAGAGAATAGAGTTGTGTATTGTATTAGAGTATGCACAAGTGTATATATACAACCTAAGAGATTAGGATTAGGGCTTTACATATTGGCCCGTAAACTATATATTACATACGGGCTTAACATATGTCTTATTCTATTACAAGCTAATTAAGGTGGAAATCGTCTAATTTTTTTGGGTTTTTCTATATAATAACTCTCTTAATTTCACTTTTTTATGTTGTGTCCCTTTATATAACATTTTTCATACTGTAACCCTAAAATACATTTAATTTCACACGGTAACCTTGCCGTTAGCAAATTTCGTTAGTGGGGTCCACTTTTCACTTATTAATATTTTTTTTATTGATTTGCGTGATGAAAAATGTTTCGTTAAAGATTTTGGGGGCTATTTAAGGCCTTAAGGAACTAAATTGAGCTCAAATTTGGGAAAAAAAACGTAAATGCCTCGTTTTGCGAGTAAAAAAATGTCTTGAGTTGCATGTTTACGTTTTTAATACGCAAAACAAGGCATTTACATTATTTTTTTGCCAAATCCGAGCTCAATTTGGACCCTTTTGGGCCAAAATAGCCCCTAAAACTTTTAATGGAACATTTTTTAACATGCAAATCGATAAAAAAATATTAATAAGTGGAAAATGGGCCCCACTAATGGAATTTGTTAACGGCAAGGTTACTGTGTGAAACTAAATGTATTTTAGGATTACAGTGAGGAAAGTGCTATATGGAGGGGCACAACGTAGAAAAGTGAAATTAAGAGGGTTATTATATAGAAAAACCCAATTCTTTTATATGTGTACAATGTTCAAGGCCAATATCAAAATCTCCTTATGATACAGATATATGTGAGTTGAGTCTCCATACAACTAAAAAATTACTTTGACATTGGAGTTTTTTTATTTTTTAATTTTTTTAAGTGAGCCACAAAGGGCAGGTGATGAGAATCAACCCCAAAAATCTCTTGAAACCGGGAGGGAGCTCTGACCACTTGAGCTATCTCTCACTCTCTTTTATGCCAACATATATTCCGTACACATTTTCTTTTCTTATTCAAAACTTGAAATCAAATCTAAGCCATGACATTATCCTCGCCGATTGGAGAATAATACTATAAATAAAATTGCATTTGCCAAACATTAAGGTATGTAAGATGGACGGCGATTGCATCATTTTCTTTATTCTTTCAATCTCTCTTTAATGTGCGTGAAAATATAGCACACATGAGAAGAATTTATTCCCTATTGATGGAAAGAACAATTAAAGTTGGAGAATGGATTAAAGGAGGTGGGGACATAATATAAATGGATTAGGACCACATTCCCTTAAATTAGCCTAAGTATAGGATAAGCAAGATAATAAATGCTAACATTAGCATACAACTACCCACCAATCTAGCTGTTAATTAAGAAGTTAATAACTTTGAACGAGAAAAGTAGAATGGTCAAGCTAAATAGCTTAATAGACCTCCCACTTTTAGGTAAAAAATCCCATGTGTTTGGTTTAGAGTAATAAAGAAGAGGGTCCTACTTTTTAATTTATAGGTACCTCACTAGCTAATTAAACATTTCTTTGTATGATTTGGCAAATCACAAAAGAAATCAATAGTAGATGCTACTTAGAGAATAAGGTATGGTATGATCTACCAGATTTTATGAAATCTCTTTTGATATAATATAAAGTTCTATTTTATATTTTTAACTTTTGTCAATGATTTGGCAATTAGCTAGGCTGTAGCAGCTGTAACCATAATTTTTTTATTCTTTGGAATATAATTTGATGGGTTTTGCATTGGTTGTTACATTGTGCTAGATATGGTGGAGGTAATTAGATTTAGATTGGTATGATCGAAACTCGAAAGGGGAAAAAAAACGGAAAAAAAATAAATAAATTAGACTACACATTATTACAGGACAAATTGAAGTAATTAAGTAAATAAACAAGTATTGAAGCTAAGGAATTTGAAGAAGAGATGTAAAGAGAGATACATCTATTTAAAGCAAAGTAGAGAGTGATGAAAATTAGAGCTATCGAACAATTAAAATAAATCATCATGTTTAAAATGTGTCATAAAAATAATTCATTAATATTTTTTCAAATATATGGGTTAATTTTTCATAAATTATGAGGTACATAAATTACTAAAAGGAAAAAAAAAATTATTTTTATTAGTAAAACTTTTAAACTAGCTGTCTCCAAATAAAACTATAAAATACATGTCTCCAAATATATGGGTAGGTGATGAGAATCAATTAACCCATACATCATGTTTCTCATATTAATTAAAATAAATCTCACTGCATCTATAGAGCTCCTAAATTAGGTTTCATTTTGTAAAGTTACACCCAAGCATAGGACATGATGAAAATTGTTGATGATCGGACTTGAGTCATGTTCTCTTTTAAGTTAATAAAAAAATGTTAGCATAGTAAGAAAAAAAAAAAAAAACAAATATAGTTGTAATCATTATAGTAGATCAATTTGGACTGATATAAATTTAGAAAAAAAATTATATATGATCAATAAAAATTATTTAACTCTCAATTTCAGTCAAAAAAATTTAATTATAAACAACAAATTTAATTTTAATGAACAAATCAGCGTAGAAACGAAAAATCGAATTAAATAATACTCCGTAATTATAAGATAAAGAGAACAAAACCTAGGTCACAGGTCACGGCCATAAACCGAACAATACTTGATTGGCAGGGTAGATGGGACCAAGTAGAATAATGGTCTCCCTATTTATAGTTGATACAAATATTCAATTAGAAAAAGAAGATTTCTCAACCCATGAGCTTAGATTATACAGAATGAAAACAGTAGGACTATATCATTTTTAAGTGCGTTGGAGCCCTTTTTATTTTAATATATTTATTTATACAATTATATGTACATATATATATAAGTAGACCCTTATATGTTATAACTCCTCTCATTCTTATGCCACAATAAAGAGAGAGAGAGAGAGAGTGAGAGAAAGAAAGAAGTGGTGTTTTGTGGGGTTAGTTGTGTTTCTGCAGCAGCTGAAGGAGGAATCCAAAGGGATCGCATTGATCCCAACTTACAATTTAATTTTTAATTTTATGGTTTCGTTTGGATCATGCAATCTCTTTGGATTTATCCTTCCGTAGCTTAATTATTATTTCATTCAATTCCTTCATCAAATTAAACCAAAACCGAACGAAGAAGTTCTCTAGAACTTGAACCAATCTCGGGCTTCTCTACGTAAGGTAATCCCCCCACTTTTTTGGTATGTCTTGGTTATAACAAGGTTGTATACAACAAGTTTAATCATCAGAATTTATATTTATGCAAAAGTTATTATTAATCTTTATGTTTTTGCCTCAGATCAACTTGTTTTTAATTGTTTTATGATGAACACTATGAGTAGAAGGGATGATTGGGATGATGCTGATCCGATTCTTAATTGAAAATAGGGTTATGAGCTTTTTTTTTCATTAAAAAAAAAAATCAAAATAAATTAGACATGCATATACTTGATCAACTCCAAATTTTATTCACACCATTTTTTTTTACGAAAATTCTTTTCGAGATTAATAGGATTTTGTATTCTAAAGAATCCATAATTAATAATAAAAAAGATTCGTAATGTGCATGGACTCCATGAGCGTCGTTTTCGTGTCGAATTATTAAATGAGCAAATTTTTGGAGTAAGATTGTTGAAATTCTGCTTTTTATTAGGAATTTTTTCTTAAAAACTGATTTTTTTTTGTACTAACACAAGCTATAAATTTTTAGATGCAATTTAGAAACAAAATTGAGTTGTTTTGTACTTATGCACAAGTGAACAACCAATAAGATAACCAAATTTTGTCAAAAAAAAAAAAAAAAATCAAATTAACAATACTCACCATAAAAGAAAATTTGTTTCTAATTGCTTATCAAAGATTAATATATACTCTATAATTTCTCCATTTCTAAATAAGTGAATTGTTGCTTTTGTAATTGAATATATTGGCAGTAAATGACTATCAATAAGTATAATGTTGACATCAGTCTGTACAAATTTAGCAACATAATTTTGGCGATTTTTATTCAACATATAGTTTCAGTCTTTCAGATGTTGATTTCCTGGACTAAATTAGACCTTAAGCTAGAAAAACAAGTTTCATAGTACAAATGCTACGTTGTAAGTTAATTAGCAAAATCATTCACTTAATTAACCATAGATAGGATTAATGTAAATGAGTTCGAAGATCCAAACAAAATTATAGAGATGATCAACTTAATTTAATCCAATTCTTAAGATAATTAGATCTATCTGAATATCAGGTTTGAATTTGTTAGTCCATCTCCATAGTAATATAAGCTAAGAGCGAGTTAGCTAACATTTCATGTGAAAGATTAAAGATTTACTGAACTTCAAAGCTTCTATTTTATATTTCCATTGTTATTTAGCTAGTTAAATGCTTAGATTGATTCTTGGTTAAGAGAAAGCTTGCAAATAAAGCGCGATTTTAAAGATGATTTAACTTTTCTTAGTTAATATCACATCAAAAGCATTGGCTCTCTAGAAAAATGTATGATGAATTTACACAAGGTCAAAACTTCTTTCCATAATGATTCTACTTTTACCTCATTTGTCTAGAAGCTTTTGATCATTTGCAATAATAATGCGATTACTTTTGCACCAAACATAAAATTAATTAACATAATGAACTTATTACTATACTTTGATGATATTGTTTGCCTGATTTGCACGAAAAGGCTTTTGATTATGAGTTATGTCGTTGTCCCATGCGAATCATTTCTATGTGATATTGGAGGGTAAACCATTCCTAATAGACCTTTTTTTTTTTTTTTTTTTTTTTTTTTTTTTTTTTTTTTTTTTTCTTTTCCCTAAATCTATTTAATAATATGTTTAATTAGCTGTATAACTTTGTATAGTAACAATTTATTGGCCTACATTCCACGCACGTATTTATGCAATATTGCTCTACTTGGTTACTATATCAGAGCAATTCATGCATGCCAATCCTCACATGATTGTTTGGCACAAATTAAAATATGGTTTGAGCAAAAAATGGAAATATTCTCCTTCCACCTTTATCTTATGCATCTCATTAGTGCAAGGGCAACATATGTACTCCGTGATTACTTTAGATTTACAATTAACAATATTGAATTAATGAATAATCTCGTCTACATCATTATCCTTGGTGATTTTGTACACTGTGATATGCATCTTAGTGCAAAGGCATGAAATATATGTATGTAAGTTCACAATGCTCTGTAATTACTTCAGGCGTACATATAACAGTATTATTGAATCTCGTTTATATCATTGTACTATCCTTTGTGACTTTTACACTAACATCTAACATTTTTAATGCAAGAGTTCCACAATGAATTAGGTTAAGAAAGTGCTAGATCATCAGATGAGAGAAAAAAATGATTAGATTACAATAGATACATGTGGCTTTAATAAGTCAAAACTCAAGTTAATTAGAATCCAAGGCTTCGAAAAATCATGAGTTTTGGGATGTCCCTTTTGTTGAACAATGAGAGGGACCTCATAATTCATATTGAGTGCTACGAAGGCAACGGGTATTATAATTCAGGGAACATTTGTCCTTAAAAAATGTCCTTTATTTACAAATTTCTTGTCCTTCATTATACATTGCTCCATTTTCATCGACAAACTTTCTTATACACGTACCTCTAAACTCACTGCTTACCCCCCACTAAAACAATAAATGTCCTACCTCTATTATTTCTTTGGATTATTGTCCATACTATCCAAAATCTTGTATTTCTTTTCTTTTGAAATAATATTCCCAAGAATTATTTATATTTATAAGGTTTCTTGTGCAAATATGTTTATCAACAATATCACTCTCTTCAAATTAAACCTATACATATCCATGGATAGGATGTGAATAATAAGATGTTTAAGGGGAGCAAGATTTTTTATTTTCCTCAATGTTCCGTGATAAAATTAAATAATTAAGTACTTTTTGTTCATGTAATTGTATTATACATTTTGTAGCCTAGGTATTTGTTTACATTTACTCACCTCTCCCATCTTATTGACATAAATCTTCTACCTTTCATTCACCAACCTATCCTAGACAATTGGATCAAATAAATACTTGTATGTACTAACATGGAAGTGGAAAAATCTAGCTAGTTCTACTCAATAGATAGATTACCCATCTAATAAAGTTGTAAACATAATAAGTGCATTCCAACTTAATTAGCTATACAATATGTTAAATGCTAAAGTTGTACTAGTATATGCTAAATCGACATTGCCTCGGTTATTAATCTATCATATCAATTCATAAAGTATGTTAAGATTTATACTTTAGAGTTGGACTACTAAATGGTGGTAAATTTAAAGTTTAGTGAAAGATGATACGGTTTTGAAAGTCCTTGACGACTCAGCTCATTTTAAAACGACTCATCATGAGTCATGAGCTTGATGCAACTGCAAATATTACATGATCGAACTTCTTCGTCTAGACCAGATTGTTGTAAATTACCATTATGTTTCATAGGAAGAGAATCTAACAACACGTGCAGTAACATACTCATCGTTTCATTTAGCTTCTTTTTTTTCTCAATTACTTATGGAGTATATTGAAGGTATGTACCTCCTAGCGCCCGGCTTATGAAGAGAACATGGCGAGGACTTGTCAACGACACCGACTGTTTTAGTGTGAAGTAAAAGGAGGAAGATGATACAGTGCATGATGTTAAGTGTCTAAGTGATACAGATAGAGATAGTACAAGTGAAGCAAAAACAAAATGTTGGCCAAGTCCCACATTGACTAAAGAAAGAAGGTATTAGCTGGTGAAGTTGTTTATAAGCAGAAACTTGTTTAATTATTAAAGTATGATCCTTCAGGCAGTTAATGGAATATGATGAGTGGTCATTTTTCGCATATGTTATTGCGAATTGGGTGTTCGCCCCAAGCCTAATATACGACAATATGGGCACCCCAATTTTATACCATCTGATCCCTATTCTTTTATGAAATATTTTTTGTAACAAATTTATTCGAAGCAATGATGATTTCTTTAGAAAAATATTTTTTCACAAATATATTTAAGCAATGATGATTTCTTTAGAAAAATATTTTTTCACAAATATATTTAAGCAATGATTTTTTTTAACTTATTGTGAATGGGTAATGGTTTATGAAATAAAGTTTTGGATTTACAAAATTAAAATTACGAGTATTCATTTTTTGATTAACATTTGGTCACTACTCACTTGTGAGTTGGACTGAACACTCCTAAAACCAAAATAAAGAGTTCTCTTGAGGCCAGACTTATGAAACCACTCCGCTACAAAATGTAAATTTGGAGTACTCTTATGCATACATAGTCATAATTTGAAATGAAAACTCGTGTAACATTGAAAAATATGAAGATTTTATCTCAAATGTTCTAGCTAAATCAACTTATACAATAACATGAACATAAACCTGGAATGACTGAATGTAGCACTAGGATTCATGAATATGACTACACAAAAATTAAAAATAAAAAATCTATCTGTTTTGATTGAGTTAAGGGAGATTTACTAATTACTACTTCGTATATATGAAGGATTTCAACAAAGTTTCCCAACTATAAAGTTTGCGAGATACGAATCAAAACTTGAACCTGATTAGGAGCTCGAAGTTCAGCCAATGAACTCTAAATTTTTTAACTTACATTCATTCATTGTGACAAAAGGCTAATTAAACCTTGGATTAACATGATGCACCCATTAATTAGGGTATAGATCTTGTCTACAAAATCAATACCTGATCAAACATAATGTTCACAAATTAATGAGCAAACGTACCTGGTCATTTCCGAAGGATAATGTAAGTAATCAGTTAAATCTCATGGATGTTATTTTAGTTTATGGGTGTTGGGTTAATTAACAACAACTTTGAGAGAAAAGGGTAAATTGGTCTCATTATTAGTGGGTCATACAATCCTCTCCATAATTCATGTCTATTTCTTGAGTATCGCAACACCCATTGTTGTAAGAGCAAAATCATTATCATTATTTCTTTTTCTTGATTGGTTGACTAACATACAACAAGCAAATAAGTTGACATTATATTAGTATATTACTATTATGCATTTATTAGGATGAGGAGAAATGGAGGAGTAAAATTAATGTTAATTCAAGTTGGTTTTGGCAAATCTTAAGATTGTATCACTGATCGAGTTGTTTAAGCTGGCAAGCTACTACTAATACAAAGTATTTTGCCGCCTAAGATACACTTGTGTAAGACTGTCTAACCATTATAAGACCACTTTTGTAAGTCATTACTGCAACCAAGCATGTAGCACCCCCTCCCACTCTAACTTCTTTCAGCCTACCTACAAGATAGTCTTATGATGATAAGACTGGATCTTAAAATTTTGTATAGCCTTTTCTATCTAATTTGAATAACAATGAGCAAAGGACGTGTTCGTTGCAATTTACATCGAGTTCTTTTATTTGAATTTGGGAGTGTGTGAGTATGCTTAAACTCACTTAATTTTATTACATTTAAAATTATTTTATCTAGAATAAGTTGAACAATTTAACGATATAATTATGTACGGAGTAACAGAGATAATTTACTATGAGTACTCAATATGCGCTAATTTATTTAATTTACTCCGTAGTCGGTAACTTACATAAAATGCATGCTTCATCGCTACTATTAATCTACCAACAAGTCTATTACTCCCTATCTACATGAAGATAAACCCAATAAAAACTTCAATACTAACATTTGTTATGGATATTAATATTGCTAATTTTTTCTTTTAAAAAGACTTTCATAGAACTCCAACGAAGGTCACTTGCAGTTTCACTCCTCATCAGGCAGAAGCCCACTTTCTTCAGAGAGCATAATGTATGAAGTATCTGACAAAACATGATTGGACCGTAAACCTCATTTTATAATGGGTTAGCCCATTATATTTTCAGTTTATGTCAGTATGTTGTTTTGATGTTCGTCTTTGGGCTAATAAATAATACTAAGGTCCAGACAATTGTCATGTCTTCCAAAATAGGTCCATCTTAAAAATAGCAAAGTCTTTCACGCCCCAATACTTGGGGAAAGCAGCTACTAGGTCACTTTTATCCAACTCTAGGTAACATGTCAACATTCAACAACACCATGTGATTTGAGGGGTTCAATGTTTTCTTTGGCTTGTTCAATTAATAATCGATTAATCGGTATTAAATGACAAGAATTATAAGGGATGGATTGGTATGATTGAGAGATTTTGATTTGGTCTATGTACTTAAAAATATTTTATTCTAGTTTTTGGTTTTATTCGGTATTTTGGGTTAAACATTTCTGATTAGTCTAGTTATGGACTTATGCATAACATTAATAATTACTCCAAATCTAAAATTAAATAGTGAAAAAAAAAAAAAAAAAAAACACAAGTCGAACAGAACTTAATTCAGATTTAAAAGGTAGGATTTAAATCCAAATCAATAAATATAATTGGATTCGGCTCCAATCCAATATGAAAATCTAGAGATTTAGGACATCAAATAAATCCACTGACCACTGCCATTTCTAAAGGTATTGATGATAAGAGGGGTGGTCCATAGAATGTCTATATACTTGAAGGAAACTTGATGGTGCCTATTTAATGCATGTTTAGTTTTATGTACAAAGTATTTGTTCTCATAAGTTTGTAATGCACATGAAGATTTTTTTTTTTAAAGAATTTGTATCAATCAAATGATATTGGCAATTATAGTTTATTACTTCTCATAGGAAATAATATTAATCAAAGATAAATTAGGTGAGTGAATAAATTATTACCTTCATGTTATAACTTGTAAGAAGTAAAAGTAATTAGATGAGTGAATAAATTATTACCTTCATGTTATAACTTGTAAGAAGTAAAAGTAATTAGATGAGTGAATAAATTAATACCTTTATGTTATAACTTGTAAGAAGTAAAAGTTTACAAGATGTTATATTATACTTTGATGTGTTCACGTAAAATTAAATAATGGTTCCATGGTCCAATTATCATCAACAAACAAAATAAATAAATAATAAGTGTAACTATTATTTTAAAATGGAAATAGTATAACATTACTTCGCAGTTTGCACTCCTTATAATTATAAATAAATATAATTACTTCTTAATTATTAATGGTTTAATGTGATTTAATCTCTGTCAAGAAATAGAAAAAAAAAAATGATATAATCCACTTGCTAAGACGTGCCACCGTCCTACTGGCCAGTAACCACCGCATAAGAATATAGCATAAACATTAAACAACCACCACTCCTCTCTATTTTCCTTTCTCTCTCTCTTTCTCTCTCATACAATCGTCGGCTACCTCACCTAAAATCCTGCCCTCAAGAATGTAGGCAAAAAGGATTTCCCTAAAAATAAATTAAAAAATCCCCAAAAATATTTCAGATTTTTTTTCTTCCTTTTTCCTTTGAATCGAAGATATTTCCACCTGCAAATCGATTCATTTGGGAAGAAGAAGAAATCAATGGCAACCTTGAATCAAAATCAAAGGTATAATTTCTCATTTTCTCTGTTAATCTTCTATTTCTTAACCCTAATTACAAAACCCATTTCATCATTTTCACTCCAAGGCTTTAATGGCGATCAAAATCCCAACTTTGATTCCGATTTTACCCTTTTGGGTGATGCCCAGATCGCCAATGAGGGTAATTTCGTCAATCTTACTTCCCCTACATCTGGGTTTACTAGTTCTGGGCAAATCGTTTACAAGAAACCCTTTAAACTTGTTGATTCGAAATCTTTGAAACCAATAATTTCATTTTCTACTGAATTTACCTTTACAATTACCCCTGGTAATGGAGATGGATTAGCATTTGTGATTTTCCCTAGTGGTGGGGAACTTTCACAGGTTTTCGATCAAGGGTATTTTGGGGTTTCTGATAAAATTGACCGTAAATTTGTTGCTGTTGAGTATGATACTCGTAAAGATGATAATGTAGGTGATTTGAATGGTAATCATGTTGGTGTAGATGTGGGTAGTAGTTTTGTGTCTAAAGATATTAGTGATGTTTCTTCAATTGGATTGCTTTTGAATGGAGGGATACCTTTGAAATCTTGGATTGATTATGAAGCTAGTTCTAAGAGATTGGAGATTAGATTGGCTGAATCTGGTAGTGAAAGGCCGGTTCAGCCTTTGATCTCGTTTTCGATTGATTTGTCGAAAATGTGGGGAGATAAGGAGATTTTGGTAGGTATTAGCTCGTCTAGTGGGAATTCCACACAAGTGAGTAGTTTATCTTCGTGGAGTTTTAAGGTCAGGACTGTTCCTAGCTCGTTGCATTCGCAACCGTTGGATCCCCAGGCTCATAGTGATGAGGAACGGCCAATTCGAAGGAATAAGAGTAGGTTTTTGACTGTTCTTGGTGCGTTGATATTCGCCACAGGATGTGGTACATTGGTGGCATTCGTCGCATTGTTTTTCTGGGTGGTGTTATTTGGTAGGCACTCGAATGTTGTCCCTGAAATGCCTATGAATCCGGTGGATTTCAAATATGAAAAGGTAAATGTGACCGTCAATAATGATTCTCATGATACCACGAGTTGATTCATTTTTTTCGTGACAAGTATTCTTTCCCCTTGTCATGCCTTGTATGTTTGTTGTATCTTTGCTGTGTGATTTGGGTATGATCCTTATCCACCCTGTAAAATTATCCGCCATTGTAGGTTTGATTGTAATAGCTAGTATGGTGAAGAACACTCATGATGTAGTTAGAATGTTGTAGTGAATGAAATCCATTTTTTCATTTAAAATCTTGATTTATATACCAGTATTTACATTCTTTATACATTAATTGCTATGCTACATTATTTTGTTGTATGAGTGGTTGATTGCGGTTCTTGAATTGGAGTTTGATTACAAAGAAAGGACATTCTCAGCCTTATATGCAGATAAGTGTAGGTTGTTGGATATTGTTATCAACTGAGTGGTGTCTAGAATTTGGCTGGAATCTGAATTTTGCACCTTATGTTTATGAGGAAGCACATCACATTATTATGATCGTGATAGCTTTGTATTATACCGATTCCCTACAATAAATTTTAGCACACTTCTTGTCTCGATTCCCTTAGCCATTGTCCTCTTATAGATGGGATCAGATAACTACAGATTGTAATTTGCTGATAGTGATTATATCTCTTCTTATCTTGTGTCTTAGTAGTTTGACATTTGTCCTATGAACAGTGGTTGGAGCTGGTACTTGGTGAGAAAATTGACATAGGAGGAGTATTTTGTACTCAAGAAGAATGCTATATATGCATTCCTGACATCTTCTTGTACTCCTAATTATATGAGTACAGATTGCCGACTTTGTTTGCTCATGGGGACTTGAGTGCAAGATGACTAATTTCAGATGCGCAAATAGAAACCTATACAAGTATTTGTTTGAGAACGTGTGGTGTCTCTCTTTGTATGAGATTGAAGATGATTATGTAAGGTTAGAAGAGCATAACTCTGAGCTTCCCATATCTTCCTTTGAGCGGTAGGGGACGGTGTGTCATGGGATACTGATGTGTATGAAACCTTCATAGACCCCCTGATTGGACTCTGGACTCACAAGGGGACCTTGAGCTGAATTTGATCACTACTTCTATTAGCAAAGGACCTTTATACTGTGTTTGGATAATAATAGTGAAGGAAATGGGAGGGGAAGGAAAAAGAGGAAAGGGAAAGGGAGGTGAAGGGAGGGAGATGGTGACATTTCATTTTCCTTTCAAATCTCTCTAACAATGGAGGGATTTGGTTTATTAAAAGAGGAAGGAAAATGAATCTTTCCTATTCCCTCCCCTTTTCTCTTTGCATTAGGTATCCAAACAAAGGATGATATATTCTTTCTTTTCTTTTCTTTTCCTTTTCCTCCATTTTTCTCTATCCAAACATAATGTTAGTCAAATTGATCGTGTCATGTACTCATGTGCTATTGGGCTACACATTCTCATGAGATGGGAGTTAAAGTCTCAGCTTCTTTAGCCTTGTCAATGTGGGCTGGTGAGGACTTTTCCCTTCAGTGTGCCGACTGTGCCCGACTTTTCTCTTGGGCTATGGCCTGGGCCTTGGTGCTCACAACTTGCTATCCAAAAAATTGACAATTATACATTGTATTAAATTTAGATGGCTCAGTGCCTCAGTGAGACTGCTTAAGATATATATTCAGTCAGTTCATATATGTTTCTAGTGATCTAGAGTATATCAACCCCTGAAAGCTCGAGGATATTGATGGGGGACATCACTCCTCCGAATAAGCGCACAATACTATCTGGTGGCAGTCCTAGTCTGCTATTGCGGGGTGTGTACCATGGTACTGAGTTATACCCCCCTCCCACCTCCTCTCTTCCCCAATGTTACGTCCCTGCTAGTCGTGCCATATTGCCATTGAGTAATAAATACTTCCTTTGTAGTCCATTGTTGTATGAGAATCCCTAATACTCATGTATATTCTACACACCATTTTACTCAAAAACCAATTAGTAACTTAGCGGGATCATTTTCATTTTATCCTTTATCTAACCTTTTTATTACGTGTAAACCTTATTTATGCTTGGTCCGTATCCCATATTATTCAATATATCTATTGTTAAAAGCCTCAGTTGAATTAAAATCTCAATCATGTACATTTGATTATAATTCCACATTTGCATCATTTATAACCCTATTTAAACTTGTCACACCAACAAGTCAACAAGTGATGCTGAATTGGTGAGAATCATCATAAGAAATCGTGGAAAGAAAACACCCCACCTTTTAGAAAATCTAACAAACAAGGGTTTCGAATAATTAATCCACTTGTCCACTTTCTCTTAGCTTTATCACTTTATTCATTATTCTTCTTTCGTGACTAATGGCAAAATTTTCGTTTTTGCATTAATGATCCAATTATTTTATGCTAACGAAGAGAGTAAGAGTGTAAGAATGATCCATCTACTATTTTCACACAGATAGTAAAATCGTGTAGCTATATTTTATGTTTATATCATACGTTCTAAGAAATAGAGAATTTGTAGGTAGTTGATCTTCGTTTAAAGTTGTACTTGTGTTTTATTTGTTTTTTGAAACATACTTGTGTTTATTTGTTTATGTTAACAAAACAACTTTAAGTTTTCATTTTTTATAATGTTGTATTTTCCATGCAAATTTTTTTCATCCAAACTGCTAAAATACTTCTTCACTCTAAGAAAATTGTCACTTTAATAATTATACGCATTGAGATAATGTATAGGTTTTATTTTAAAAATAAAAATAAAAGTGGAAAATTTAAGCATTAACCTTTATTATTAATAGCACAAATGTGAATTTTCCAATAACTCCTAAAATTTGCTTCAATTTAGTAACAAATTTAATGCTTATATCCTACCCTTAAAACTACATTAATCGTAAGATATTATATATATATATATATATATATATATATATATATATATATATATATATATATATATATATATATATATATATATATGTTAAACGAGAATATATAATCAAAGACGGTGACTTTTGACTTTAAAAATAGTAAATGACCAATCATTTTATTAGATGGTTTGTGTATGTTGCTCACTAAACGTACTAACCAGGTTTGGTTTCAATTGGGTCAATTAGGTTTTAGGTCAAATTCTAATTAAGACATATTCCAACTTTTTGGTTTTTGAAAACAACCAAACAAATATATTAAGTAGACATATTCCAACCTTATTTTGTTTGATTTGAATGAATATGGAGGTCGAATGATTTCAATTTTGGTCATAGTAATTCTAAATCAATTAGTATAAAGTGAAAATTATACCAATTTCTTTTTGTTTTTTTTGTTTTTTGTGTTTAGATAGCCACAAGGGCGGGTAATGAGAATCGATTTTAAGATTCCCTAAAATCGGGAGGGAAGCTCTAACCAATTGAGTTATCCATCACTCTCAATTGTTCCCATCACTTTAATGCTCTCACTAGGCTTGCGTCACTTAGCTCAGCACCAATTTCATCATATTCAACTAATTTGTTGCAACCAAAATTAGATAAACTTTGTTTCCAAAAAAAAAAATAAAAAAATGGATAAACCCAAGCTAAGAATAGAACTAAAATTGGTTTTACACACAAAAAAGAGGGGGTTGGGGGGGGGGGGGTTTAAAATTAGGGCAAATTTAGCAATTTCTTAGTACTGTACTGGATTAAGCTGGCCTTGAAATATGAGGTTAAGAATTGGATTATTAATGTTATAATCAATCAACAGAAGCCCACTAGGCTACTATGTTGGGTAGTGGAGGCAAAATACCCTTTGCAGTATGGCCGACTTGCCTACAACTTGTTGACCCTATGGCCCATCTTCTTTTTCTTGGGGGGAGGAGTAGCAGGGTAAGGAGGAATAATACACATCACTCAAAGTGGATTTTTATGGTCATTTTTAGGTATTGAGAGGATTTTATGAGAGAGCATTCTTATTACACCGCATAAGATTAAGGGGTTTTAGGGGAAACACAGATTAAGAATAATAATAAGTCCATTCTCTGAGACGGGCTTATACTTATTCGAGACTAAGGAGAAATAAGATTGGACCTATCTCTGATAGTGGATTCTCGAGTCTATTCAAAAATAATTATTTCAAAAACATATATTACCAAGTTTTGGTTTGAATATTTCTTATAATACTTTTAGAAGGAAATTCCTACTTTAAAAACCCCTTCAAATTAAACTAAGAATCCACCCGTGAAAACATGTTATGCAATTACTTATTAATATTAAATTTATCTCTTAGAGTGAATTCTCGAGTCTATTCTAAAACTTTTATATCAAAATATCATTTATTTAGTTTGAATAATTTTCAGACTACTTTTACATGCGTCAGTGTTTGAAAAATCCTATAAGATTAGACTCTCAATCGATTTTTAAAGATGCAAGTATCACTCCATGACAGGATGTTATTAGCAAATAAACAACTCAACGTTGTCAGATCAAATAATATATGTACGATATTGGATGTCTAGAATCATCCCCAGCTAATTAATGAGACTAGATAAGGTTTGTAAACATCATATCGCGCTAAGGTGAGGAATCTATATATGCAAGTACACCTTCAAATTGCTGAGTCGGAAACCATTGCCTAGCATTTAATCTACATTTCCAGAATTATCAACTTCTTTTCAAGCTGTAACACTTCAAAATAGCCAATATGCCTAGCATTTAAATCTACATTTCCAAAATTATCTACTTCTTTTCAAGCTGTAACACTCCAAAATAGCCAATATTTTGAACCCACACTTACCATATATATGCAAAATGTGACAACTAACTATAGTATAGTCTATACTCTATAGTGTGAGTCCTACATGTATGTAGCATGTAGGAAGAAGGGAACATAATTGCATAAAACGCCGTTTCCTTTTTGGAATGTGATTAGCAGTTAGCACTTGTATAATTGTTTTCTATCATTTCATCATTATTTAAGCATGTGAATGCAATAGTTTCAACTTTCAACCCATGTTCTTCGTAGTGGGCGTTGCTAAAAGACAATTTTTGAGGTGGTCTTATAACTTCTTATACTATACCAGCTTTCCGGCAAGCCTTCC